ATGAGGCCTAGACTCTGGATGAAGCCTGGGGGTTAAGAGATGGGGGACAGAGCAGAGAGACGAGGTCAGCCCCTTCCAGGAGCCGTCTCCAGGCCAGGGATGACACCTGGGTTTGCCTGGGGACTCCAGGCACCCCCTGGGTGGAAGAGGGCTCTGGGAGCGAGCCCAGCAGCACAGCGCGTTCCCGGGGGCACAACCCTGCCTGTGCCTGGCTACCTCTCAACTCCGGGGCCCTGAGAGAAGGCGACCAGGCAGGGGCTTGGGCGGGGCGACCTCAGAGAGGTCCGGCTGATGCTCCCCTCCCCCTCCCGCCTCCCAGGACAGGATTCGGAAGTTCCTGGATCACGAGTGTGACGTCCTCTCCCTGAAGCTGCTGGTGCCCCAGTGTCACCACATGCTGGACATCTACTTCCCACAGGTCATCGACCGCCTCCAGAGCCAGATGGTGAGGCCCCACGGGTCTCGCCTCCTCCCGGCCTCCCGCACCGCACAGCCCCCACCCCACCCTCGCCCGGAGTCACCCGCACACACGGCACCCCAGCCCCCACACACAACCCCTCAGGTGCCCAGATCTAAGCCCCACCTACTCAGCTGTGCTCAGTGGGCCTGGCCCGCACGCTTACAAACACCCACACAGACCCCCCCTCACCCTTCACACAAACATCCACTCAGTCACACGCTCACACTACACATTCAGTCTCACGCAAAATCCACACATACAAACACATTCACGGACTCATCCTCCTTTCATTCTCACAAACATCCTTGCTCACCCTCGTTCACGCACATTCCCAGACACTTGCCCCAAAGTCCCCACGTGGCCCCATCTCTGCCTTTGGTCTCCCCCACCCCCACCACAGAGTCCCAAACCTCAGCCCCAGACCAGCCTGCTCCCCGCCATTCCAGGCCCAAAGACAGCAGCCTAGTCCCTGAGTCCTTGAGCCAGAGAGCAAGAGTAGGGTTCCCTCTCCGACCCTGAGCACCCCCTTCCGTGCATTGTGTCCCAGAACCCAAAGGCCATCTGCGAGCACATGGGCCTGTGCAAACCCAAGAGTCCACAGCCGGAGCTGTCGGACCCTCTGCTGGACGAGCTGGTCCTCCCTGTGCTGCCAGGGGCCCTCCAGGCGAGGCCTGGGCCCCAGACACAGGTGAGCACACGAGACAGGTGGGAACCCAGAGGGCTAAGGCCGCAGCTAAGGCCCTGGGAGGGGCAGAGCCGAGAAGGGGACCAGCAGCTCGAAGCAGAGCTTAAGGCTGGGCGGGAGGAGGCTTCTCCCTCAGGAGCCCAGCCTGCCTCCCTGTCATTCTCTCCCCCAGGATCTCTCCGAGCAGCGGTTCCCCATCCCCCTCCCCTTCTGCTGGCTCTGCAGGACTCTGATCAATCGGATCCAAGCTGTGCTTCCCAAGGTGAGGCGTCCTGCACCACAGGGAGCTCATCAGGGCCCCCCACGGCTCCCCTGACTCCTCACACCCCCTCAGGGGCCAGCTGGAGGAGTTGGAGGGGAGCCATTTGTGTGTTGCCCCACCCAAGGGACCCTGGAGCTCAGGCTAGACCTGGTAGGTGCCAGACCTAGAGTTAATTCCACAGTTGTTCCCCATAGGCCAGGCCCTATGCCGGCTGTCAACGTACAGAAAAGGATCCTTTCCTGAGTGTGCACTGTGGTGGGACAGATTCTTTTCAGGTAGTGATAAGTTCAGGGCAGAAAATTAAAACAGACGAGGGGAGAGACAGTGACACGAGAGGTTGGTTGGTCAGGAAGCATCTCAGAGAGGCTGATGGTTAAGCTGAGATCTAGAGGACGAGGACCGATGGGCAAAGGGCCTCGAGGGGCACAAGCTTAGGCAGCCGTGCGTCTGCAGCGGGCAGGCCGGGCAGAGCAGCCTGAGGAGGGAGCAGAGGGTCAGGACTGCGGGGCCGGCAGACACGCCTGGGACAGGTGAAGGAAGGCTGGATTTTCTTCTGAATGCAACTCACAGCTGTGGAAGGGGAGGCCACGACCGGATTCACACTTTAGGAAGACCGCTCTCTTGCTGTTTGAAGACCGGATTGGGCAGACGGGGGAGATGAATGAGGGCAAGGCGGGTACTTAGGAGATGACTGCAGAAATCGCGATGGGAGAAGATGGGGGCTGGGGTGACATGGGGGTGGGAGCCCTGGGGACCTGTCTGGGAGCCACCAAGCTCTGCAGGACTTGGTGATGGACGGGACCTGGGGAGCAGGGAGGAGAGAAGAACCAGTAGAGACTGTGGACTTTGGCGGGAGCAACCGGCTCTTGGGAATGCCCCCAGCTGAGATGGGTAAACTTGAGAAGAAACAGAAAGATCAGTTCTCTCCTGGCCATGTGAAGTTTGAGATGCCTGTGCAGCAAGCAAGCAGACATGGCAAGCAGGCAGCCTGATCCCCAAGCCAGGGCCAGAGACCTGAGTCTGAGAGTCACGGCTACAGAAAGATTGAAAGGCAAGGGAACAGACGGGATCACTGGACAAGGTGGAGAGGGGGAGGGGAAACCCAGCAAAGGAGCACGAGGAAGGACCTCCATGGAGGTGGGGACACCACACGTGACGTCACGGAAGCTGAAGGAAGAAAGCTCTTCAGCAACGAGGAGGAGGTCACCTGGGCTGAAAGCTGCTGAGGGATCAAGACAAGAGATGAGCAGGGAGGAGCCAGGTGACCACGAGAGCTGATCTGGAGGAGCACTGGGGAGAAAGAGCAGCAGGGAGTGTCTGCAACCCTCCCAAAGCGGTTTTCTGGGAAGGGCAGTGGAGATGGGTGAGGCTCTTTAATGACAGAAGCTATTTTAGCGTGTTCACATGGTGATGAGACCGACAGAAGAAATGAGGCAGGATGGAGGGGACAACGCAGGTGCGAGGCCCTTGTGCAGGTGGGGCTGGGGGGGGACCCGGGGCACAGGGAGACGGGCCAGCCTCTGACAGAGCAGGGACCCCTCACTGTTGCAGTAGCATAGTGATCTGATGCAAGCAAATGCACACATTTTGTGAAATGTGCCATTTGGAAGGTGTCGCACCCCAGAGACGTGCAGGTCCCTCTGCCCACTTCCTACCTCAGCCTTCCTGGTGCTGAGGGACAGCAGGGTCTGCAAGCAAAAGCAGGGCCCAAGCCAGACTGTCGTATGTAGGTTCCTTTTTTTTCAATCGAAGTATAGTTGATGTACAATATTATATGTTACAGGTGTACAATATAGTGATTCACAATATTAAAGGTTATAATACTCCATGCAAAGTTATTATAAAATATTGCCTATGTTCCCTGTGCTGAACAACATATCCTGTAACTTATTTTAATGCATGGAGGTTCTTTACGTGAATTGGCTGAGTGAGTAACGGGGTGGCGGGCTGAGCGTGCCTGCCGCCTCGCTCCTTGCCCTTCAGTTCGGAGGGTGTGTTTGGAATCGAGGGTGGGGTGGGGAGATTCTTGGCCTCCCCCGGGGGCTCCTGAAATCAGGGGCTTGCTGGCTCCCAGAGCCGCGGAATGAGCGCATCCTCCTGTGCGGAAGCACAGCACGCCCCGGGTCAGGAGGGAGAAGTCCGGGTCTGGTTCTGTCTCTGCCCCAGGCTGCCACGTGGCCTTAGCAATGCCCACCTCTCTGCAGCAATTCCAGAGTCTCTGAAGTCAGGGGTGGGTCCGTGGCCTGGCTCCAGCACCAGCCCAGTGATTCTGGGTGAGTCCCCTGGACTCCCCGATGCTCAGTGTTCTTATCTATAAACAGCATAGTAATTCTCCAAGGGAACAAGGGGAGGTCTACCTACAAAGTACGCAGCTGGTGCCGGGCAAGAGTAGGGCTTTCAAGGAAAGGTCCCACCCTGCCCTCTCTCGGCCCCCACCCCAGGGTGTGCTGGCCACGGCTGTGGCCCAGGTGTGCCACGTGGTACCCCTGGTGGTGGGGGGCATCTGCCAGTGCCTGGCCGAGCGCTACGTCGTCATCCTGCTGAACGCGCTGCTGGACCGCATGCTGCCCCGGCTGGTCTGCGGCCTCGTCCTCCGGTGCTCCAGCGAGGATGTCATCGGCCCAAGTGAGCCCTAGCCCTTGTCTGTCACCCACTCTCATCCCTGCCCAACCCCTGGCCCTGGACGACCCGCTCGGTCTCCAGTTGCCCTGCAATGTAGCAAAGAAGGAACTGAATACTCTGCAGAGAAGCCTTGACTGGATTTTCTCTCTAGCCCTCAACACTCTGGGGCCCCTGCCAAGAGAATGGCTACCCCAAGACTCCGAGTGCCACCTCTGCATGTTTGTGACCAGCCAGGCAGGGAACAGCAGCGAGCAGGCCGTGCCACAGGCGATGCACCAGGCCTGCCTGGGCTCCTGGCTGGACAGGCAAAAGGTGAGGGGCAGCCTGGCAGGAGGCTCAGGACTCAGGGCTGCCCGTGGTGGAGGGTCGGGCCCAGGAAAGGCTTCCAGCCAGAGACACACAGAGTGGGCCAGAGCCCTGCCCTTAAGGAGCTCAGATAGGCAGACAGGACGTGGGCCAAACAATGCTGGGACTGCAACTCAAGGCCAAACCTGCTGAAGTCAGGAGTTGTCTCTGGCCAAAGGTCATGGGCTCTGGAGGACCAGCCGGCCTCCCTCCTGAACCAAGAGTGAGGCCCGTTAGTGACCAGGAGATGAGCAGTGCCAGGGCCGGCGGGAGCAGGAGAGAGCCTGGCCTGTTCTCCAGGGTTCCGGGCCTGTCCCAGCCCCAGACTTCCTCCTGGTGTGACGCGGTGGGGACCAACCCACCTGCCGGAGGAGAGGGCTGGGCCTGAAGGCCTGGAGTGCCAGTACTCAGAGTGGGTGACAGGCCGGCTGACTTCCCTCCCAGGAGGCCGCTTTCCACACAGGGCGTCCCCGCTGCCCATCACATGCGGTCTCCAAGGCCAGATGAGCTTTAGGATGGCTTCTAGAACTGAAATTTAGGGGGAGGAGGTGCAGAGGGCCAAGATTCTGCCCCTGTGGCTCCATCTCCAACGTCCTGGCTTTCCCGACAGAAACCCCCATATCCGCCCACGCTGGCTCGTGCAGTTTTACAGCCAGAGCTGCTCCGTGGGGGCTGAGGGCTGGGCCTGCATCGGTCGGGGGGAGCCCTGCGGTGATCCAGATAAGTGGGGAGGCCCGTGCAGCAAGGCAGGAGAGCCCTGCCCCCGGCCTGGGTCCCCCTCCACTCCGTCTGTCTTCTTCCTCAGTGCGAGCAGTTCGTGGAGCAGCGCTCGCGCCAGCTGCAGGCCCTAGTGTCCAGGGGCTGGGACGCCCGCACCACCTGCCAGGTACGCCCACACCTCCCAGCTGGCCCCAGGGCTTTCCTCGGCTCCCAGAGCCCCCCGCCCTCTCCAGTCCATGGTCCTCAGAGGCCCTGCCCCCTGGGTGCAGGGCAGCCCCAGGAGCGCCAGCCCACCAGTGGCAGGTGCCCTCCCATGTTTTCCTAGAGAAAAGGCAGCCTCAGAGAAGTCAAGAAAAAATCACCAAAGAACGAAAAAGGAGGAGTATGGGAAGGGAGGGGGCAGCTTTAAGGAGTGTATTTTGATTCACATCATGGGATGGGGGGTGTACACTGAGCAGTGTGTGCTTGGTGGGGGGTACCAGGTGGGGCCAGCATCCCACCTCTCATTCTAAACCCAGGCCTATGGCTCGGGGAGTGGCCCGAGGGGTCTGCGAGGTCACAACAGGAGTGGCAGGTAGAGCCTTCAGGAGGAGCCTCCTGACCCTCTCAGAGCTGGGAAGGGAGGATGCATGGCCTCAGGCCCTGATGCTGTCCCTGTGGCAGGCCCTGGGGGTGTGTGCGACCCTGTTCAGTCCTCTCCAGTGTGTCCTCGGCCCCGACTTCTGATGAGAACTCAAAGCCATGCCAGGTGAGTCCAGGCCCCCAGTTGATGGGGGAAGAGGCAGAATGGGTCCTGCTGGCATCAGGAAGGGGGCCCACTCAGTCCCCAAAGCGGGAAGAGGAGGCCACTGCTGCTGGCTGCTCCATCCCCTGCCCCTACAGGCCAAGCTCGAGGCTCCTGAGGGCCCTGGCAGCACCGCCACCAGAATGACCTCTCTCTGCCCGACTCACCCCTCTGCCCAGAATCCCTGCCACACTCAGCGCCAGGCTCAGCTCCCGGCTCCCTCGCCCAGTCCCAGCCCTCAGGGGAGCTTCCGCACCTACTCCAGGCTTCCCCTCACAGCTCACCCTCTGGACCGGCTGATCTCCAGTATTTGATGTGTTCAGACCAAGGCCAGCCTTTCCTGAAACTCGCTGCCCCAAGACACCACCCCATCAGATGCCAGGAACTCCACCATCACCTGACCCCTCCCTCCTGAGATACCCCTCTTTCCCTCCCCCTGTCGTTGGGTCAGAGGTAACACCTTAGGATGGAGGGATGGGCTGGCGGCTGCTGCTGCACCAGGCGCCTTGGAGGAGAGAAGTGCCCCTGAGTACAAACTTGGTCAACTTTGCAGTTCTGCCCTGAGCAAGACCCTAACGCAATGATCGTTTATTTATTTCTTCACTCATTATTTTAAAATGTAGTGAGTGCCTTTGGCCAGGCCACATTCCAGGGGCAAGGGCTGGAGCTGTGAATAAAAGTGAGCCCCCTGCCCTCCTGGAGCTGTCACCCCAGGGCTGCCTAATCCATCTGAGCGGGGGAGGGAAGGGGACCGGCCTGCTCCTGACATCCTCTGGAATCAGAAGCCCCTGTGGGAGGCGGTAGGGAATAAATGCCTGCCCCACCTCAGACCTTCACCACAGGGACCAGTTTAATGTCATCCTTCCCCAGTGATGCCAGCTGGTGAGACCTGGGGGTCAGGGTGCTGCCAGGAAGAGCTGGGCCTTCCATCCCTATTGAAACAGGGGGCTCTGGTCCCAACCCTGCCATTGCCTGGCCACAGGTCCCCAGGCCACGCTGCCCCTCTCTGGCCCCCACTCTCCTTAGTGACAAAGGGGGAGCTGGGTGAGGTCATCTTCAGGACTCTCCAGCTCTGCCGCATGACAAGGCCCCTCCTCAGGCTCCCTGCCCCTGCCCACACTGAGAAGCCCTCATCTTCCCCACATCCTTTCTTCAAAAGGCCCTGAGGCTGGTGGACCACACACCCATGGCTTGTGCACTCACTCCTGGGTCGGCCTGTCTGTCCTGTCTGTAACCACAGCCTGAAACCAGAGCCACTTCCGTCCTCTCTGGGTGTTAGTTGAGGCCAAGGCTGCATCTTCTGGAGGAGGTCTGAGGAGGGGGCTTTCGGCCCAGGGTGCCCTCACACCCCACAGAAGCCAGCTCCCAGAGCGCCCCTATGACTGGCCTAGGGGAACTCACTGCAGGCCCACAGCCTTTCTCCAAGTCCTGGCTCCAAGGGGACAGTGGAGGAGAAGCAGGGCCCTGTCTCCCCCAGATCTCCACGCGCACAAGACACTCGCTTTTACACTTGTTTTGCTAACTCACAAAATCCCAAATTTGGAAGAATAAAATAATGGGAACATAAAGAACCAAAACAGAGAGACACGTGAAGTTCTTGAACGTTTTTAAAAGCCAGGAGGTCCCTGGCATGGTCAAGGGTGAACAGAGCAGTACTCAAGTGTGGTGGAATGAGATTGGGTAGCATTCCTTATCTGGAATATTCTCCTACTCAAGAGCTGTTGCGTTTTGTTAAGATGTAAAAAGGGGGTTTCTTTTTATCTTTTTGTAAGGTTGAACTCCCAACTTTCGTTTGAAATGCCAGGCGGACTGGCATTCTGCTGTGACTGACCTCCTCCAAGCTCACTTGGGACCAGGCACGCTAGGAACCAGTTCCTGTGTGATGCAGCATCTGCATTGATGCTAACCAAGTGCCATTTCCTTGTCCTAAAGAGAAAGGACACTGCCCCTGGCTCAGACAGCGGTGGTGGAAGCAAGCCACGTGGGGACCTTAAGGGGACCTTAAGCCTGCACACACAGGACGTGACAGCTCTAAGCAGTGGCCCCCATCTTCTCAGGCAACTGTACCTATTGTCAACAGCTAGGGAGGGTGCAAAGGGACAAAATCATCTGTGCCAATGAAGGATACAGAGAACACAGACTCAGCCCTATGATATTTGCTTAATGAAGTTAGTGGTTGACTCCTGAGTGTCAAGTATTTC